AGTTAAGCAATACTTCCAAATGCATCAGGAAACCTTTAGCCTGTTTGGAATATAATTATTTCCTTAGTGAGCAAATCAAGTGCTTATGCTGTAATCACAATTAAGATCAAAGCATATCATATTGGATAACTGAAATAAAGAAGGGTAAAATGGAAGACATTGATATAACTGTAAATTAAGTTGTCCATATAATTGCTTGGCGCAAACTCAAATTTTGGCTTCTCCAGAGTGGAAAGAGAGTGAGGAATTATTATGATTTCTTTAGGATGATAATTCACCTTTTCCTGATAAATAATAAGTTAAAAGGCTTATCTTTTGATTTGGTTACTTCAATTTAAGGATTCTTCACATTCACATAAACCCAATTTACCACTTATTACACTATTTTGTATTGTGTGTTCATGAATAATCAGATACTATGTAGTTACTATGTCTATTCCATGTTCACCAGGAAATCTAAACATACATACATCAGTATGTCACACTATTTTCTAAATTTATTAATGTGTTAAATATCATCTGGCTCCAAAATACAACACAAGCAGGGGCCATTAACATTCCAGTGCTCCATCTAACATTTAATGTGAAGTTGATGGTGCAAGACGAGGCAGATTTTGCAACAAATGGGAGGAAAAACTCATAGTTTAAAATTGGGATTAAAAAAAAAAAACACAAAGCAGCCCAGCACAGTGCCTGGTACATAGCAAGCACATCCTAAGTGCTCATTATTCTCTTCCTTCCGTCCTCCTGGAGCTAGTCATTGTTTCTGAAGAATTTCAAAACTGTGAACTCAGTTGTCATGAAACCTGGAAGACACAAAGCAAATTTCCATATCCTCTTACATGTTATGGGAAGTGCTGACAAGGTTGGTTTTGCCCATGACTTGGGGAACAAAAGGTTCCAAAGGGGACAACCTGGTTTTCTAGGTTGCGTCTTGTCAACAGAAATCCACTATGCATGTGAGAGAGCAAAGTAGCTGAGATGAAACAGGTGCTTCTAAGTCCAATTATTTACATATTTTTGGCAGAAGGAAGAAAAAGTAACTCTATTTGCCATTTTGGAAAATCAGTTGATTTTAAAATGAAAAACCTACTGTGTTGTATTTTTGTTAGGTAGTACACCTGTTTTATTTCATTCCCTTTTTTTGAATATTGACCACTGATCCTGTGCACACAAAGTTTCCATTAATAATAATATTTTTTTGCAAAAACATTGCTTTAGACAGCTATTACTACTTAGGATAACAAGTTTTCTATCCTACATAAATAAATGGTTATGATTAATATGTTACAGCCAATGTGCTTATGAGGGATTTGGGAAATAGGTTGTTTTCATACTATGTTCATATAAAGAGTGAAATATTTATTAAAATAATTTTCCATGGTATAGTTAGTAGTAATTGCCTCCTTAAGTATACTGTAAAAGCTGTTGATGTTGGAGTTTGAATGAAAAACATTTAGCAAAATACTGGTAGACATTCAGGTTGGCAAATTTAATATCATTCTTAAAATATTTAAAAAGGCTATCTTCCTTGTTTGGGCTTCAGCAGAGTTCTCAGGTCAGCGGGGACAAGCAGGTCAAGCGACTGGCCATTCCCAATATCAGCAAGGATCCTCATTGTCACCCACTCAGACACCATCCCCAAACGTTCCATCAAGAAGCCGGATCGTTAGTGCCATGGCTTGGCCCCACAAGAGAAAGAACCCTGTCTGGAACCAGGAGGACTGGCAATGCTATCCTCTGGAATAATGTTTGTCATTCTGCTCTGGACAATCAAATGGCCAAGTGTTAGGCATTTCCAAATATCACTGATTATAACAATGTGGAAGAAATAACAAGTAGAACTTTGTTTTTGAAGGAAAAGCATTGATAGTTACATGTTAAGTGTATTTTGCAACTTAATCTACCTTCTTCCTTGAAAAATAGTCCTAAGAATTGAAAATTAAAAAAAAAAACACAGAAAGATGAGGGAAGCATTATATCACATACTAGCTAATGCATCCTGAATTCTGGACTCATTCCAAGGGACAACATAAATAGAAGGAAAAACACATTTTTTTACGGAGGACTTCACAACTTTTCAAGTTTGATGTTAGAATGGAAAAGGAAAGGGACACTTACTGTGTTGTATTTTTAGTTCTCTCAGTAGTTGTCCTGTTTAATTTGATGAATCAACTGTTTATTTGCAGTTTTAGAAAAATTGTAAATAACCTTTTACATTGTTATGATGAGATTCCTATGCATGCCCTTATCATTTAAAACAAATTAAGGATATTTGTTAATTTTTGCATTGCCTGTATTTATTCACTCTGCCTGTTGAAAAGCATCAGGCATTTCTATTGAACTGCAAACTTCGTTGTAATGAGGCATATCTCCAGACAACTGTGGCTGTGTCAGATAAAACCTGCTTCAAAATACAATATGAAAGATCCTGTCTCCTTGCAGGAATTGAGGCATTTCATTACAGTTGAATATTTCTTGTCCTTTCAAAATAAGTTATATTTTTGTTTTCTCTGGGAAAAGGCTTATTGGAAAATTTTAAATTTTAATGTGCTGAGATTTCCGCTACACATACCAGGAAGGAATGCTTTCTGCCAACACCTGTGTTTATTGTTAACAAATTTTCCCAAATCCTACTGGAATGAACATGTCTGTGTAAAAAGTACACTTGGATCTTAAGAGTTTATGGTTAAATTGTCTAAGTATAGTTGGCTTGAGAATATCAAATACTACATTAACAGGACACTTGATACAAACTGGGTCTTAATAATATTTATGTATAGCAGAAAAGCCTATTGGTTTGGGTTCTCTGGGATAGTAATTATTGCTCATGTGACTTCCACAAGTAGTCTCCAGACAATATTTATTGGTAAACAAATTTTAATAAATTTCATTGCACTTTAAGAGAATGGGACTATTTTAAAGTGGAGTAAAATCCCAGAGACTTTGAGCCAAGGACTAAGAAGTTTATTGCAGGAAGCTATATCAATCAGTTGGCCATACAACATGCATCCTATTTTCCATAATTTTCTTCACAAGTCATTGCTTAATAAAGTTTTGGTTGATTACATAAATAAAATTATTGAATTTCAGTATAAAGTATAAACTATGAATTTGACTATAATGTAGGCAGGTAATTTGTATTAATAAACTGACATACCTTATATGATAGTTCCACTATTTTGGCTGTCATGTACTTTGTGTTCTAGATTTGCCAAAAAGAATCTTTTATGGAGCAGGAAAAAAAATGCTTTACCCTTTTGTATCTAAAACAATTTGTAAACTTCAGGATGCATGGGTATGACATAAGTTTCAAACAGGTTTTAATTCTGCAGTTAACACCAACATTTTATGAATTGTGGAGCTTAGAAATAAACATGACTGCAAAAGCAGATACTTTGTTGGCATTTGATACAAGTGAACTCTAAATAAATGATACATTACATTTTATCTGACAACACTAACAACTTCCATTGGCGACTGTATTTTATTTTCTGCACATAGACTCGGGTGTGATTACGTAACTGATACTTCTGATGTGAGAAAGTGCTGTAGATAGTAATGCAATTGTTTGTGCTGCATAGATGAGCCCACCCAATAGCCAGCATCTGTTTTTGACCTACCTTCCAAATATGGTGGGTAGATCATAGCCCAGAATTCTTTGCTTGAGTTCTACAGGATGAAATCCTGGGTGAGTTTGCAGTGTGAGCTGTGTCTTAGGTCTGGCAAAGTGCTCATTTCTGAGGAATTTAAACTGGCATCCTTTCAGACAGGAGAGAGGGAAGTCTGCATCGCATTTTGGTCAATAGAAGCATTTTGCTTGTTTGCACTGGAAAGGTGCTCTTTACAAATTAGCAAAGTAAAGGTAAGACTGTGTCTATCTGTTTTAGTAGTTGATGATTTAAAAAAAAGTGCCATAAAATCATTTAGGAAGTTACTATGCCTTCTAAAATCATATCAAACTAAGAGCCTCAAAAACAAGAAAAAAAATTTTAATAAAAGACCAAATAGAGTAGTGTTTGATAATGACTAATTTTCAGGAAAAATCATAAACATTTTTAGAGTATAAAATGGGTTGTAAAGAGTGGTATCAAAATAAACATCAACATTTGAACTAGGTTATGATGCTTTCTTTTAATATTTGATTTAAACGTATTGGTGAGGTCACCGATTTTTGAAGTTACTTATCTGCATAAAACGTATGACTTATGTTTTATGTTCGGCTCTCCAGGTCAGTCACTAGGCGACCATAGGTAGAGCCTGCACTTACAATATTTTGTTTTAAAGAAACGACTTTAGAGATGTAGATAAACGCAATTCTTTCTGAAAAATCATTTAAAATCTTAAGGCTGAAATATTATCTGGTTCACATCCAAGAAATGGTTCGCTGAGTTCTTGCCAGGCAGGCTAGATATCACCGCAGTCACCACTCAGGCTTCCATTGTTAAACTGATAACAGCTTACACGTTTGCGTGCTGTTTCTCTACTTAAAGAGAATGGCCACTCTATTTCATGTTCCCCCTCCTAGACCAGTCAGTAGGTAAGCCCACTAGGGAAAGAATGCTGAAAAGTATTGATTCCCTAAGTTTCAGAGTCTGAAAAAAGTTTCTGGGAAATTGTGAAAGATAATGTGTAACTACGCCCCAAAGATCATAATTGGTAGCTAGGGTAGCAAGAGGGTGTGTGTGTGTGTGTGTGTGTGTGTGTGTGTGTGTGTGTACATGGTGTCTTCGAGAAGTTATTCACACACAGCTGTTTATTCAGATAGCATGGGGTGCGTTCATTTACATAATAAATTTTTTTCAAAGCAGCAAGGTTGAGTCAGAGCAGTGCTCCTTTCAATTGTTGCATTTAAACCAATAAGGTTAGGACAAGAGAATAGCTGTGGTTTGCGTTGCAAAAACAACAACAAAAAAGCCCTGCGGCTCCATGGGCAGACCTACAAGGCTGCGCAAACAAACCGAGGGATGAGACTGGGCTGTTTCTTTGTCTAGGGCCCTCTCAGATGCTATCTGCGGCTGCCGTTCGGTGGGGAAAGAGCAAGGCTGTTCCTGCATAGCACGGTGGGAGCTGATGGCTCCGAGTTTGGGGCGAGGTAGAAGCTCTCCAGTGCCACTTCCGACTCGCAGCCTTCCTGCGGCGGTCTGCCGGGGCGCTTTTCTTCGCGGGGAAAGCGTTTGCGCTCAGTCTCTAGGCAGCCGGCGCCAGCAGCAGCGCCCAGGAGCCTTCCCCGCGAGCCCGGCTCGCTCTGCACAGGCGCTCCGCTCCCCGCAGCGCCGCGGCTCCGCCGAGAGCGCCTAAGAACCCGCCCGCGCGTCCCTGTCCAGGAGCAAACTATGTCAGGAATGGAGCTTTGCTAAACCAGCACATTCGGAGGAGCACATGAAACTGGTGGATGCAGCAGATGTAAGCGCTGTAAGTACACGTTGACTATTTGAAAAATTGCAGTGACTGACAACAGCTGTGCGGTGGGCAAAGCCCAAGATAACGGAGCACTTTTAGGATTGTTTGGATTTGTTTTCAAAGAAAAACAGGATGGCATGGGGGGAAATTATGACACTTTGTACCTACGACTTTATTAGCCACAGGGTTCCAGCATGAAAGTATGATTCTTAACCCCCAAATTGTCTGAGTGATTAGGATCGTTAGGAGATAATTAGGAATTAATTGTTAACAAGTACTTTTGTTAGGAGCTGTATAAATAGCTGTATCATAGGGTCACGTCGTTATAGGGAGGTGACTGTCTCTTTTTGGAATTGCTGCAGGAAAATAACTCAAATATTGAATGATAGTTAATAAAGCAGTGTGTTTATGTGCATTATAACTCATGGTAACTTTTCCCTACACACTTTAAGAAGAGGGGCTTAGTGTTTCAGAGGATCACACCTAGCAAAAATGCTTCTTTTAAACTAATACTTCTTTTTAAGGATGTAAATCCTTTTGCTTTAATGAACAAATACCCGTCACCCCCAAACATTGTATTGAACAGGCTTATCTTCGAAGGGTGATTTAAGCAACATTTGTCCAATTAATAGATTTTTTTTTCACTTATTGACACTTTCTATGACTTGAGTGGACCTAAAATTTTAAAACAAAATACTTAAACTATAGAATTATTATCAGGAATATTTGCCATTCAAAAGCAGTATATGAATGGCTAATGACTCCTGGGCTTATATTATTATTATTTTTTGCAAGGAGTTTTGGGACGCATTGAAGCCTAGCATCTCGATACACTTAGGGCTGTCATTGAATTTAGACAAGTGTTTTTTATGTTTCATTTCCTAAAATGACCAAGGGCTACAAGAAGGCAGTAGTTAAGCACAGAGCATAGTTTTATAGGTTTGGGATTGTTTTGATAATGTGTCTTTCAGAGTAGGTTTCTGTTTCATGCCCGTGTGAGTCTTGCCCCCACACTGTTTGGGGTTTGTGGAGACACACACATGAGCAGTTATGCTTTTGCATGATCAAATGCTTGATATTTGACTTTGATGATGCTTGAATTCTCCCAAGGCCCAAAGGGCTCAGTGAGTGAGCTGTAGATTTCCAATCTTTGAGAGTTCTCTGTGGTGGCGGGGAAAGCTGACTGAGCCACTGTTTAGTCCTCAAGTGCCAAATGGCAGTCAACGACTGTGTACGTTTCACAGACGTGATCAATGATTGTCTACACCCCGGATTTCCATTTGATGACAAAATTTAATTAATAAGGATTTGTTGGGAAGAAGAAAAACATTTGTTGTGAGAGTTTTAAAATCCCTTCTGCATAATCAGATAAAAATACTTTATTCAGCATTTTCTATACATGGCAATTTTGAAAACAGTGTTTTAAAACTATAGGTGGAAGCAATGGAGTTTGCATATTTGTTGTTTTCTCAAGGAATCTATTTTTTGTCATTTTCCTTAACCGGGGTACACACTAAAATGTCAGGAATGTGGGATGTTGCCTTAGTAAAATCAGCAGTAGTAGCTGAACCTTCATTTTATGGCATCTTGGATAAAGAAGGAAATACAGGGTCACCATTTTAAACACATCTACCTTTCCTGGGAGTTCCTTTCACCTTTGGGCTTAGCTTCTTACTTTTAAAACTTAGGTTTCTTTTGTCATGTTTGTTTATTACAACGCTGACATCAGAGTTGGCAATAATTATTGAGGAGAAATTTTAGCAAGAATGAGTTCTGCTTAAAAAGTCGATTGATGTCTTAGACACCTTTTTTTTTTTCTATAAAATGCTTTCTGATTAGAAAATTACCATTGTCTGTGGCTAGACAAAACCAGCTTGCCTGCCAGCTCTATTTATTTAGAGAAGTTCAGTACTTTCACTTTGAAAATTTCTTTACAGTTTGAAATGAAAAAAAGCTTTAAATTATAGTCATTTTATAAAAATTGCTTCTAGCAAGCAAAAAATAAAAAAGCCTATGGAAAACCCATAATTTAGACAAGTGCCTACATTTTATTTGCTCGGTGTTGCTGGAGCTTACAATCCCTTTCCATTTGCAGTTTACTTTTCACAGAACATTATTAACTTTTTGGCTTCATACATGATCTTCTGTCAGATGCTTTTGATTTGTAATTTAGCAAAGTATAATAAACAGTGCAAAAGTCATGAATTTTGCTTCGCATCCTGAGCTCTGTGGTAGGGAAAATGTGATAAAATGTGTACCTTAAGTCTTGTTTGATGATCTCTCAAAGCAAGTTTGCCTTCTGGAAATAATTTCTGGGGTTGAAGAGCATGGTATTAACAGATTTAATGTGGCTATTCAATGGATTGGCGAAGTACTATGTGAGGTTTTACAAAATGAGAGAGACAAATTGAACATCAACAAAAGTTACATCTGTGAAGAATTATAAATTTAATTAGAAAAAAGGCAAACTTAAAAGATCTCATTAACTAATCAGAAGTCAAAGTTACTAGTTTGGGATTCTTGAGTTTAGAGTCTAAGAAGTTCTGCTGTCTGTTTTCTCTTTGTACTTTCACACAACTTTGTCAATCTGTGACTCCGGGTATTCTATACGAAGAGTACTAAAATGTATCAAAGTGAAACAACTTCACTGTAATAGAAAATGACTGTTCATAAGTTATGGGAAATATTTTTGCACTCATAGACATATTTGAATTAAAAATACTAGAGTAAGAGAACACAGCAAGCATTAAGTTTATGGATATTAGAAAAAAAATTGTTCTTATTGAATATCTTACAGCACTGTTCTCAAAGTCATGAAATATTTTTTTCCACTGTTGAATGAGAATATCTCTAATTATTTCTCAAACGCTTCATGGTTTTAGACTTCTGAAAGACAGAAACTTCCAGAGACATTGCCCATCATGAGAGAAAATGAGCACCATTCACAGAAGTAGGTGTTCTTTTTAGATAAGTCCTCTGAGTGTTTCCTCACTGCACTGTAATCTTGTAGTACACATAAAAAACTAAAAGCATGTGAAGTGTAGCATTTTGTAAACTGTAACTAATTTTGCTCACATCTGTGTCTAATTGTTGTCTGCATTCGCATTCTTGAGAGTAGATTTATTTTTCCTGGACCACGATGTGGATTCAGCTGACCAGCCTAAGTGAGGATTAGTTGTTTTAAAGTTATTTTGATTAAAGAGTCATTTTTAAATACAGTAACACACAACACATGGTTTAAATAATCCTTGAGACACAAAAGAATATATCTGAACTATACTTAATGAACTGAACGTCGTGGGTACGGACTTCCAAAAATTGTAGCGAATGAAAGCACGGTTGAGACTGTGTTGAAACAGCATGAAAGAGATATGCTGTTGTGGAAATGCATTTTTTTAAATGAGGAAACGTGTTAGAATAATTCTTGTTTTAAAGCCGATTTTTAAAGAAATGAACAACGTTTGACATTTATGTTTCAATTTGATATATTAAACCTCAAAAATGAAGATAACCCATACCTTAAAATATACAGCGAAGCTAAAATTATATTCCCAAGATTTTGTTTCTTAGCTAATGTTAAAATGGAGATGTATTCTAGCATGTAACAGGATGTGTTGTAAGTATTCTTTCACGTAATTAAGGGAGTTCTTAAAACTAAGTTCTCACCTGTAATTTATTCCAGGTGTATAAAGGGGGAGAGAAAAAATGTCTCCCTGAGGTATAGTGCTGCAGTTTTTAAAGGAAACTTCAATTCTTGAGAGAGAACATTAATTTTACCAGCAATTGCAGAAACCTGTTATTGCAAAATGACATATCTTCATGCATTAGCATTTTTCATTTGCTACTCACACAATCTTTAAACTTTTTTTGTCTTGCACCTAGAAATTTCACATAACATTAGACTAAGACAGGGAGACTTTATTGTTTATTCTTTCTAGCAAGGTAGTTTCTTCATTTCAGAAATCATAATTTAAAAATAACAGGACTCCACAGAAGAAGTGGGGTTGGATAACTTTAATGCTATTTGAGATGCTTTAGTGCCCATCTTTCTTCTGCAGCCATAATTGATGTCAGTTGGGGTTGAATGAAAATGCACATCAAAGATTTAGATTTCTGGGCCATTTTGAACATTGTGCAGAACACTCTTGCCTGCCTGCTAGGCGTTAGCCTGGGCTTGCAAGCCAGTCACTTAGCTCACCTGAGTGGATCACCTGCTGGCCATTTACGCTGCCTCTGGCAGAAGGGCAGTGATTTAGCAAAGCCTGCAGGTTAGTTAAGTGAAGATATCCAATGAAGTCCCCAAATACAGACCCACCTAGACACATAAGAGACTAAACTGCTGGCCAACGGGCATGATGCCGTTGTTAATGGGTCCATTCTCTTTCTAAGTTGAAAGAATAAAAAGATCTACCAACAAGCCAACTTTTTTTTTTCTGTTTTACTGAGCAGAGCTGAATCAGCACTTGTTCAATTTTTGATTGGCATGAGGTAAAACACTACTAGCATGTTGCTCGGTGGTGTGACTTTGGGTCTGCAAGCTTGGCTTAGCCATGTGTCGTTAGTCCTGCACTGTCTGAAAGTTGCCCAGACACTTTGTGAGTGAATGTGAGGTGGCAAGGAATAGACGTAGGAGAAAATCATCATGATAAGAAGAGACTGTCAGGAGTCAAAGGGGTAGGCGGGAGCTCCGTTTCAGCTGGTGATAACAGGATGAAAGATCTTCCGAGGATGCTGGCAGATTCTTGCTGGCAGCACTGCTGTTAAACACACTCATTTTGTTAATAGCTATTTTTTTTCCCCAAGCACCTTTTCCATGCTACTCCAGCAAGGCTGCTTTGCATGTTGATTGGGGGAGGGGTAATCCCGTTTGCAGCTGTCATAGGCCAGTGATGAATCACTATACCGTCACTTGGCTGCCTTCCCCCCCTGACAAGGGGAGGAGGAGGATAGACCTGCAGGAGGAAACAACAGTTGAGATCTCAACTTAAAGACAATATGCCTTTCACTGCTGCAGTATCCTCCTGTTTCTCTTTCGGTTGAAAGAGAGCATTGTCCAATCTCAGCCATGTGCTCTGTGTAATTAAGAGCTAACCCTGAAGCAGAGTTAACAACAGCTTCTAATTTTTTACCCCTGACCACAGGTGCAAACATCTCAAACCAGTTCAGATGTTGCTGTTTCCTCAAGTTGCAGGTAAGGATATTATTGTTGATATTTGACGTTTTGTGGAGATTACCTTTCTGTGACCCAGATCTATTTTTGTCTAGTATTTCTTAATTATATCTATTAATAGTACCAGTCTTGGTTGGACATGACTTAACAGTTTTTGTGCGTGTGCGCTTGTTAAAAAATGTGAAGTATGTAGGAAGGGAGTAAGAGCCTTGTTTGAAAACAGCAATGCTGGTGTTGGGCAAACTGAGTGTGTAATAAGTATCAGGAGAGAAAAAGTGGATTTTGAACCCTTTCTAGTTTGAATGGAAAACACTTGGGGAAGCAAAAAGTCACTTTAGAAATAAAGTGGCTCATGTTAAATGGATTGTACATCAGTTTTAAAACCTTAAGAGAAACCTCAAAAGTAAAATGACCATGGCTTTAAAATGACTGTAGCTGGTTTGACCAGGTAGGGGTGAGAAGTAAATAATATTAGCTTTATATATGTAACATTAAACTTCCCACACCGCTTTTTCCCTCTTTTCTCTCTCTCTCTCTCTCTCTCTCTCTCTCTTCCCTCTCCCACCCCCTCCCTGTTTTTTTTTTTTTTAAAGAAAAACACATCAAGTTTGAAATCCAGTGACTGGGTCTTAGACTTCTTAAAAACTTGACTGTTAGAGAACATTATCTAGGTGTGTTTTTAATGCCTTAAATAAATCCTCTCTTCGTTAATAGAGCATTAGATACAGCATGGATAGCTCAAAATGCGAATGAGTAGTGGCTTTTGTGCTTTTCCCAGCATGAATAACTGCTTAGTCCAAAGCCTTTCGGGGGTACTTAACTTTTACAAATGTGGTAAACATGCAGAATTGCAGTGTTGGACCAAAATTGTTCTAGCTTCCCTGAACAAGTGACAGCTGAGGTATTCCAACTGCTAGTGGCCCTGGAACTCACTGTATGTTGGCCTTATCCCTTTTCAATTGGGCAGGCTGTACGTAATCCACAAAGCAAACAAGTGAGCCGACATCATAATGTTTTAATGCTGCATTTGTTTCAAGGGGAACAGAGGAACAATTAAGTAGTTTGCCAGAGTAAACACATGCATCAGGACTGTCTCATTCCCTGTCACCAGACTATAGGTTTTAAGTGCTTTATTTGGTTTGGAGACCCATTAAATTACAATTGGGCGGTAAATTATAAGGGGATAGCTAGTGCTAATTTATTAGATGAATCAGATTCTGTAGAAAAGTGATTTATTTCTATTATGTATGTGTATATATTTGCCTTCTCTTTTAGAAAAATAACTCCTTTGAGTTCTTTTCAATATTAAAGCTATGTTGTACTTTTCTCCCTGAAGATTAAAATACGTAGAATTCCATGTGAATGTTTTGTTGAATAGATGGGGCAAGTTCCATTTTTGAATTGACCACATGTCATGAGAGGGTGACTACAGTCAAAATGTAAGAGGAACTATTTTGAGTCTCAGAAAACAGATACAATGGGACTTTGGGGGTGAATGTGTTTCCAAAAAGGTGTCAAGTCATTAACACATTAAATAGTGGTGTTATGAATTTGGTACATCTTTCAAATGGAAGGCTTCTTGTCTTTAGGTCTATGGAAATGCAGGATCTAACCAGCCCGCATAGCCGTCTGAGTGGTAGTAGTGAATCCCCAAGTGGTCCCAAACTCGATAACTCTCATATAAATAATAATTCCATGACTCCCAATGGCACCGAAGGTGAGTGTCTGCCTTCTTGCTGTCTACTTTGCACCTGTTTGTTCATCATTATGTGCTTTGTTGTTGGGTGATTATGATTGCAGTTCTGAAAGCCACTGAACTTCTGTTCTGTCTTCCCGTAAGGCATTTTGACTTACGAATCAGTATTTGTCATTCTATGATTTAGAAGTTACACATTGCTAGGCTTTTGTAACTTTACATACACTGGTTTTATTTCACATACAGATGTATGTATATGTATATATAACATTGTGTGCATTACTTTAGTAAGCATTGAACATCTTTTATCTTTTTTGTTCGTTCTATAGCACAATATCAGTTTGCATTATTTTACTTTATGAGCAATGAACGCTTGGTACATTTCCTTTATTTTACTTTCCATTTTATTACTAAAATCAAATTTGTTTAAGTGTAAACATTGGAGTGATTGTTTTTCTTAATGTCAGTAAAATAATCTGTGTGCCCAGCATCTTGTCATCTTGTGGTCTCAGACATTAGAATATAATAAGTAAAGAAATGACAAAATATGCACTTATTTTGAAGACATACATAAACTTTATTTGCTTTCTTAGAAATCAAAAAGTGTGCTTTAAGTATAATACTGTAGCAGTTATTTCTGTGTAACTGATATATGTAAATGCTAATGTAGTTGTTACATAAATAGAATGCCTATTTTAATTCATGTATATCCAAGTCTTAACTAGATTGTATGTGTTGTGACCTGTTATATACAGCCATTTAGATACTGTGCATATTTTAAACACTTGAGCATGTGAAAGGATATATTACATATTGCATTGAATTTATTCCCACTTTATTGAAAATTTAACATTTTCACAGATCATATTTTTGCTTATGTTTTCCTTACTATGCCTCATGCTCTTGAACCCTGAGCAGGTTTCACTGCAAATTCAATTAATTACCCATGTTAGAAGCCCACCTGTAGACAAATGCTTAACCATCATTTCCCAGCCACCACAGTAATTGTTTGTCACACAGACTTTAAAAATAAAATTGTCACAAAACGATTTGCTTTTAGTGCCGCATTCCAATATGCCATAGAACTTCTAATATTCTGAAATTTACAATAATAGGTAAAATATGAAATCAGTTGTTTCTGATACAAGACATCTTTTATACCAATAGTGATTACTTTTATATGTACATATTCTACATTTTTCTTGTAGAGTCAATACAGTCATTTCCAATGTTTATGGAAAAGGGTTACTTTCAACAGGAGACACTTTGCAGGTCCAGCAAAAAGAAAAACAAAATCAGTGAATAAGATGCCTCTTTATCTGAAGCTTCTCCCCATTTTGATAGGCAATCAGAGAAGTTTCAATTATTTATAGGAAGGCAATTCTAATGCATAAGTAGATTATATAGAGCAGCAAAAAACAAAAGCAAGCAGTCCGTTTTCCTTGCTCTTTGGAATTTGTCTTCAGGTGAAAGTGAGCCTGCTGTGGGTGTTGATAAGTCACCCGGACTCCTGCCGGCCCCTATGCCGTGGGCCCCAGGGAAGTGGCAATGGGCAGAGCATCCCCAGAGGGGCCATAGAGGCACACTTCTACATCACTTCTATCATTGCAAAGTCCACGTGAGACAGTCACATTAAAAGAACCTAAAAATAAGGAAGACTAAGTATGTGAAATGGTTGTGCATGAAAGAATATGCTATTGCATATTAAGAAAGTAATTATGAACTAACAAAACTGTTCTAAATAAGAAGACATTAAATAGGAGTTAAGAAGACTTTAACTTTTCAACATATCATTGGTACATTGTCTCCTATCAAACAAGAACCAGAGTTGAAGTAGTGTGTGTGTTTGGATAGCCTTGGTTGAATAGTATTTGGCTTGTTTTATAAGGGAAGGTGGAATTATAGTTTATTTCAGAGTGTTTGCATTTCTTAATATAACACTTATATTCAGGAACACTGCATTTTATAAGATTTTTGCAAAACTAAAATAAGTTGAAATAATAAAATCTAGATAACTGTGTATCCCTCTAAGAACTTAAGTCTGAAAAATAGCTGGACAATGTTCCTAACCTAAGAAACCTTATTTTATGTCTTGGAAATAAATTTTTTAGCTCTTATTTCAGATAGTTCTGAAAGATGAGTTATTCATCTCACTATTTTCTGGCAATCTGCTTTAGTGTGTTTGGTGAAGATGATAGTTTAAGTGAAATCAAAAGCTATCAATATAAAAAATGTGTTACTCTACTGATTTCCTTAATTTTATCTCAGTATACTGTTTGAAAATATGAAATTTGCATGATTCATATTACTTGCCAAGCAATACCAAAGCAATATCAGAATGATAGATTATTATTAAGATTGTGAATTAATCTATCATGTCCTTATATATATTTTTAACATGCTTGTGCCATTCTTTAAAGTCCCTAACATAGGAGATAGGTTAAAATTAATGAATTCATTAATATTCAGCAGACTTCCTTGGAATAATATTCCTATGGATTTACTTATTTCTTCTTTGAAATCTTGCTTAATTTGAAACCAGTAGTGTATAGAGGGGAATAAACAAAAGAATTGACATTCTTCAGAATGACAGTCATTCCCCTAACTCTATAACACTATGTTTCCAACCATCTATGCCACGGTTTATGCAAGGTTCACTGACTTTTCCTTTGCCTTGTTGAAAATAGCCCAACTGAAATTAATAAAAATTTACATTTAGTGTACACAGTTATAAGCTTTGCCTGCGTTCGTATAGGTATCTTCTCAACCATTTTTACTTCCAGCCACCACTTGTCCCTAGAAATAAAGCTAAGAAAATAAGAAAATCTCTAGATTCAAAAGCTACAGCTTCATCTGAAGAACAAACAAGAAGGAATGGAGAGGCAGAGAATATTAAATTTCTTCTTAAGTCTGCTGCCAGATTATCATAAGACTCAATGTTCGCAGGCTCTGTGTTCTTAGGCTGGTGCCTGTTTTCATGGTTCATCTCCGGGATAGAGACAGCAGGACACTGAACTTCAACCTCAAAGACTGTGCTTTTTATTTCCTACGTGAAGTATCCTTCAGTTATAATAGTGGCTTTAAAGTTTCATATTTCAAAATTTTCAACTGTTCATATTTTTGTAGTCTGTTCCAGGTTTTCTGTGGATCATTATTGTTGCAGCTAATCATTGGTGTAACTCAGTTCATGTTTTCAAAATATAGGCAAAAACATAAAATAGCAGCCTAAGTGAATGCTTGGCTTACATGGAGAAAAGCACCATTAGAAATGACAGATATCCACATGAATGAATTAATATTTCGGTTATTATGAGACAATTAAAACTTGACCCAGAGGAGACTGACAGGTAGTTGCAGTAACTCCAGTTGAAGCCTTTCTTTGAGCTATGTTCTCCACTGGTTTTGACAGTTAGTCTTTTAGGGTATTTTGGGATAGAAATTTCTATTTAAATATTTTATAAATATTAGATAATTCATGCATTTATTGAAGCATAGTTCTTAAGGCATAAGCTTTTCAGTAGTGATGCTTCTATTAAATGAATATTAAAGCATCAGACCAAAGACTGTTTCTTACGTTTGGGCACACATTCAAGCCTTTATTGTGCAGGCGTGGTATTTAATGGTTGTGTTCAATGTGAGAAATATTTGGGAAATGTTCTTTCCAAAGGAGGCATGGATATGATAGTAAAACAGTTTTTATTTATGTACTTAATTAAGTCCTTGTTTGCAAAGATGGATTCATTCCATCTTTGTTTTCTCTGGATGTCTTAAGTCTTTGAGATATTATGATTGGTCAGTTCATATATAGCTTATTAGAATGTTTTGGTTGTCTTAGGTTAAAATCGTAAAATGGCAAAAAAAAAAGTGAGTGAAAAAAATTGAGAACAATAGATTTTCTTTATTGTAACTTTAGATTCAAACTTAAGAAGAAGCTTAAACTTTTTAAAACAGATAAATTTATCTTTAAATGGCTTCCAATCAAATGTAGTTGGAATCTTTATATGAATAGGTTTTCAGTAATTCTGATGGCAATTCAAATAGTAATTTTGAATCAGCATATCAGATTTCCAAGAAATAAATGGATGTGATCTTGACTTAGGTGGCTAAATTTTCAGCATTTAAAATTTATTTAATTTTATATTGCATATTTTGGAAGATAGGTTAACTTAGTTGTACAAATTTGTTATCAGAATCTGTTTTTAAGCTCTTTTGTGCTTCCTACAAAGCTTAAAATATTAAAAATGACCTGAATTTGTTTTTCTTCACTGTAATTTTAATTCAGTAAAATGCAGTTCTATCTAACTAAAATATCTTTAAGAAACCTTGCTTGTAGAAAATACACTGGAGTGAATGTGTATAAAATTATGGTTTGAGGCTGCATTTTACAGGCTATATTTATATATTTGTGGTCAAATATTCTGTTGTCAATAGAAACATGGTAATCTAATTTTATTGTTGTTTACATTCTGCACATGATTCTGCTTCTGGGAGATTAAGTGACATCATGAATAAAGAAGGTTCTAAATGACATTTTTAGAATTCGCGTATAGCCACAGATTAGACCTCTTACAAATTGTTCTCAAACAAAAGTCATGAAAGAATGAACAAGATAATTTGTTAGAATTTAATATTTGCATATATTATGTACATGGGAATGATTTGCACATGCTTGTGGCAAATAACAGCAATGACTGGTGTTTGTGAACAATGTATTGCTAGTCATTGAGCCTACCAATATAACGCCTAGGAAACTGGGTTTGCTAACTGGGTGAACCCTGACAAGTGAGCTTCTGTGTAGTTGCATTTCCTCATCTATAAAATGGTAGTAAGAGCAAGAGATGTGCTGTGACAGTGTGAAATTAAACTTCTTGCCTTCTTGGAACTTACTAAATATCTGTTGATCTCTATCCTAATGTGTCAGTAATAGTCCCTCCTCCCATCAAATTCATGTTTTATGCACAACTCCCACCCTGCAAGTCTTAGGAAGTTAATTACTAAATGTAAAGGCACCTGATTTGTAA